GAATAACACTAGTGAAATCCAAACTACTCTTCTTGTTCTTGGCAGATCTCCCTTTACCAGGTGCCTTAATATTAAATGCTGATACAATCTCAAGCTGCATGCTGCAAAATGTAAAAAAAAAAATGGGATATGTTTGGACTTTGCGGATTTCTAGTTGAAATCTATGAGAAAATGAGTTATTTGTCTATGATCTTTGTGGATTTTTTTTTTTGTAAATAGCAGCATAGTTGTAACTTAAAATGTCATTTTCAAGCTCATTAAACCTTCTGTAAAGAATTTCTGCAGAAAGTGCCCTTGCTTAGTTTTATCCTAAATGCTGCAGCTTCTGTTAACAGCCTCTTCTGTCACTGACAGCAAGTTTTTAACCCCCATCATGGGGAAAACCAACACCATGATCCAGCGATTGCTCGGTTACTGCTGAGTGGCCTCCATGTGGTTACTGTACTCACCTGATGTATGTCAGTGGCAGGATCAAGCCCATTAGCTTGATTTGACTCTTCCTTTCCGTGTAAGTTGGGAGCTGTGCTGCCACATCACAAGGACAGATCCCCTGTGGTTTTTTGAAGGGACCAACCTGCTTTCATTGAGCTGAGCAAGCCTTTGCAGTGTTTTGACAGGAATGTTCTGAGTTCACTAGATAGTACTCCTCGTCCCATAGCCTTCAAATTATCCTTAAAACTGCCAAGTTATATGCCAAGGTTGTTGTAAAAAATTATAGGAGATTATAGAACTGTTTTATTTTCAAATGGTCAATATCCAATATATTTTGCCACTAACATGTCCTATGGTGTTCCTTACCTCCAAAAATCCTCATACACATTTCCTACTGCATGATGCAAATGAAATATTTTAAAGTAAATGACATAAGATGAGGTGAACCAGTAACAAACAGCACATAATAGATTTATGTCCATATTCCTTCAGTGCGGTACATTATGGCAGTTTAATGGAATTGAGGTATCTTGATAATGTGCTTTTTTTTCTTTCTTCAAGGTTGCAACCTAAAATAATATAATGTTAAAGCATGTAAAACACTCAATTACCTTGTGAAAAAGTATGTAGATTTTTTTGGCTTAATGATTTGTCAGCATTACATTAAAAAAAATCATAAGCCTGTAGGACTCTAAGAGGCATATTTTACTAGTGTTTTGTAGCTGAACTGTAGCTTTAGATGCCGATTTTCTTTGTATTGCATCTGCTAATTTATGTTTTGGGCTCATTTACCTAGAGAAACTAGTGTATTGTAAGAGACGTCGTCTTTTATCAGACATCAGTGAATTCGCAGGAGAGCATTCCTGAGACACTGGAAATGGACACAGAGTGAATGTATTTTTGAGCAGGAATCTGGAAATAAAGGTTTGGGACCGATTTGTGTTAGCATCCTATATATTTTTTGTATGTTGTTGTCAGTACATAGAACAATTTTAATAAAATATCTGCTGGCCTCTTCCAGGTGCCCTTTTATTAGACTGTAAAACCCCCTGAGAGTAAATTAAGTTGCAACTCTCCCAAGGACATGAGAAAGGTCATAGCCTTTAAAATGCTACAAGACTCAGGAAAAAATATCTTTTCAAAGGTACTTTAAGTGTGTCTAAATATCTACTTAATAAACGTGGCAGACACTCATTTGAAAAAGTAAATAACCAAACTATTGCACAATATAATAATAAATATTAGAAGGCAGTTAAGGAAGTTGTATTAATTGGATACCTTAAGTAGCTAACCATGTCTAACCCTGTAATTTTGCGTGGAGCGAAGGTGCCTCTTGCTGTGCAATTAACTGATTTATTAACAGGAGAGTTGGTTGGCTGCTGGCTGACCCAATGGTCCCATAAAGGGCTGCAGCTATTTCCTGTGTTAATCCTAAACCAGCGTGCTCAGACCAGGGTGGAAGGATGGCCGTGCTTTGTCCTCTCTGGTCAGCGGCTCCAAAGAAACCTGGAAGAAATGGTGATTAAGTTGGTGAGGGCTCAGTTTGCCCAGACCCACGCAAAGAAGTCTTTTGATACTGAAAAAACTCTGTAGACAGATGTTCTTTTGCAGATCCAGCTGTGCTGCTGGAATAAGCTGCTAGCCCAAACCCTTGATCACTTCTTTTGACTAAAATGTGAGCGTAACAACTTTCTAACGTATTTCCAAGGAGGACCAGAGTAACTAAAATATGCTGAGTCGTTTGGTCTTTGCTAACTTTAGCTGCCTTGGGATAGGGAGCTCTAACAAGAGCAGCTGCAGCTGGTACGAGTAGCTGGCAGGCAACAACACAGCTGTATGCAAAGTGCCTCCGTCCACATCCTTACTGCCTTTGCGGCTGCAATTAAAGCTCTGACGATGGGGCCTTGTCTGCTTTGCTGTATAATGCCAGCTCAGCATCAGGTGGCTGTTGCCCACATCTGCATTCAGCGCCGACCTTGAAGATCTCATCAGAGCTGAGCTGCATTTGCTGCTCTTGCTGCGCTGGTGCCGGACAGAGCACAAGCAAGCTGGGACATGGGTCATCCCGGTGAGCTGCAGCTTGTGCTGCTCCTAGTGAGACCAGGTAGCTTGGTTTGTCCCCTTATCTGCTGCTGGCCCCACTCAAAATCTACGTTGATGGTTTCTGTTCAGCAGTTACTGAACACAGGCAAGGCCTAGAGGACCCTGCTTTTACCTGCTGAAAACACTGAGGATATGAGTATTCATGCATAGTTGTTTGTATTAGAAGGTTAAGAGCAGTAGTTGCAGGTCTAGTGGCAGCTGTAGGCTGATGTCAGTCATAGATGATGTAATTGACATTTTCACATATGTCAATAAGCAGAGATTAAACAAGCATAAAAATAAATTAGCCGTTAAGCACTGTGATCATAGGACACAATTAGTTTGTACACTGAGGAATTACCTGGCTTCCTAAGTCTTATACTGCAGTTGTCTTCTGAATTGGGTTTGATTTACAGTAACGCTACAGCCAGTAAGCGAGAATTAAATAAAAATATTTTTAGTGTAATTTGGTCTGACCTTGGATTTCATGGTAATGGTTGAATTATGTAAACAAGTAGATTAGATTTATATAGACTTCTGAATCCCTTTGCCTCCAAGGAATGACATGTAATCTGTAATTCCCTTCA